AATCAATGGTTAATATAAAAACATGGTAATTTTGACAAAATAATTTAAATTAAGGGTATTATGGGTGTACTTTTAATCTTTATTTCCTATCTTCTGTTCCAACTCTTCCTTTGACTCTATTCTCTCTCTGATAAACCTTACTCTGTATCACCGTGATGGATTAGTGGAGCTAACAAACTTGTGTCACTATATCAACATATGGGTTTCAATATATGGGTTCCAAGATTATGGGATCACACACTATTATCATTGTACCTCTACCGTATATCCACTCTATCAACATATGGGTTTCAAGATACACTGTGATCACTATAACTCCACCTTAAACTCGCTCGATCAACATATATATATATATATATATATATATATATATATATATGGGTTTCAAGATGTAGAATAACACACTGGATCTATCGTTAAAACTTTATCGTAAAGCCATGCCTGGAAAATGATTTAGATGTTGCCATCAATAAAGTTTTACGGAATCGGTGGATATTGATGGAGACTAGACCATAGTAGGAATATGATATTGAGAGAAAAAGAAAAGTATAAGCAATTTAAGTTTAAGTAAACAACGTATTCCTAATTCTCATCTTCTTTATTTTCATACCCCAAGTCCTACGTCCCCATAACCTTTTATCATGGGTGATGTCATCATAAATTCCTAAAGCAGCCATATTTGACCTCATTTGCTCATCACACTTCCTCCTCCTCCTACCCCTCATCTGTCTCCTACAAATTAACATGGCCAAACCATGCAATAATATATGTATATACATGAATTATACATCCATACATACATACATACATACATACATACGTATGTGTGGGGGAAAAGATAGTACATTTGGACAGGGCGATTAATGAGGTCATCATTACATACCATATTCTGCAAGTTTGACTATACAAAGATCGTTTTTTCTTTCGAATCAGTCTAGTTATCTTTCAAAAGTCGTTAACTCTTTTTTATTTGATGGTAGGCCACATTTTTTGGGACTGATCAAGCTGGACATGCAAGTATTATGTCTTTACCTTGACGTATCAAAATCGATCTAGCCTTTTTACAAACCATGTTGGCTAGGTATTTTGACCGAACCAGGCTCTTTCTAAATCTGTTTGTGTGCAACTCTACTATGGAGATCTCTTGGCAGCAATTCCTTTTGAAGATTTGTGGTGGATATATAAGAAGTGCCATGACCTCTTTCTATTTGAGTTTTTGGTATCCACTGTATTAAAAGCTCAAAAATATAACTTTAGAAACATATAATCACTCATCAAATAACAAAAAATATCACAATATTTGAGTTCTTACGATTTCTTAGTATTTTTCAAAAGACTTCCCGCTCGTTTACTACTTAGCTTGCTCCATATGGGTACTGGGTACGGAACATACCCAAAAAGTCAATTTATATCAGGAAATGAAACTCAGACAATTGCATATTTATCCATTTAATTTCTTTTTAACCTAGTAAATTCAATTGCAATTCATATATTCAATAGATATTTTTAATGGACTAAAAAATCACATATTTTACAAATCTAAAAATTCAGGATGTTATGATATCTTCCTCATTTTCATACGAATAGTGAGAAATCACAAAGTTTATGGGCACCCTGTCTTGTGGGCCAATGCGTATTAGCTTGGGTAATATAGAGAAAGGTCAACATAGGAGATAAAGTCTTGAAACAAATTATCGAGGTTACACGTCTTCTATCCACTTCTGCCGTCGATCTTTCTCTCGTGAGAAGTATGGTCGGATAGTTTAGATTATCGAGGTTACAAGCATTTGACAAAAACTCTTAAAAACCATTTTTAATGTATAAAGTACTGTTTATTGATTCATATTACTTCAAATTTAAGATTACAAGTAAATTGTGTGTAAGTACAACTTATTAAAGTTTCATGTTTGAATTCGTGTAACTAACTGCAGATAAACATCGTCAAATACAAGATAAAAAATCTAAAATATAATTAGGATAATTCTTGAGTTCTAACAGATTACTTAATATTATACTTATACAAAATTTATTAAATCAAAAATAAATTACTTGCGTTATTAAATCTAAATTAAATTATACTAAAAAAATGAATTAAAGAAATTACACAAAAAAACAATAACTTTAAATAGTTAATTTGATACTAATATTGATATATATTTATTTTCGAAATTTTATGATACATTTAAATTTATATTTTATCAAAAAATAAAATCATTATCCATTTCTCAAAACCACATAAAAACCGTATTAAAAAATCTACAGAGACAGAATAAAATAAAACATTAAAATCGAGATATATCTCGCTGCATTGCATGAGTACCCTTCTAATATATTCTCTTTTATAAAAAAAGAATTCATTATAAAATTTTACTCAAATCATTTATCAAATATAATTTTTTTTTTCTAATAATGTCTCGTATTTTTTCATCTGATACCTAACATGCATGTGTGCCTTTTAATACACGTTTGGAATTAATTGGTACCTTGACATATCATATTTATGGTCAATTTTTCTCATGAAGTAAATTTCTTCCGAGTCTTTAACATTCCTTTAGTGTTTGAGTAAATTACATGTTTGGTCCTTGTGGTTAGTATTATTTAACAAATCTCATCTCCTTTTTAAAATATCAAAAGATCGTACCCCATGCTCTAATCTTTTACAACGAGTTGGGTTCTTATCATTTACTCTTTGTAACAAAAATTGTTAGAACAAGGACATTTTTATTTAAAAATTTATATATGTACGTATTCCCTTTTATTTTAATCAATAGATTGTAACCATATAGTTGCATTCTACATCAAGTTAGGTTCATGTCAGTAATTCTTTGTTAGGGAAAAACTATTAGAGCAAAGGCATTTTTTTTATATGTTCTACATAATATGTACAATCCCCTAGGCAACTTCAAAATCGTAGTTATCCCCCGCCTCTCAAACTCCTCTTAATCCCTTTCCCGTCACCAGGTCGGCCTTGTGGCTTTTTATGCCCAGGATAGAAAGACTAAATAATGTTCCCACTATATAAAAACTAGAAAAAAAACATACTATTTCTTAAAAGGTTTGGAACCGAATCAAGCAAGGTGGCTCATTCCGCGCCGATTGTTGTTACTATTCTTGAATGATAATGTATTTTATGTAAAAGACATATCTTATAATGTAATATCAAGTTAAGTTGAACTTTAGAAAGTTGGATGCAATGATTATTATGCTCAAACTAATCCATAGTGTTCAATTTGTCT